GTACATGAAAACTACATTCCAGCCGCCGAGGAGAACCGCGAGGAGGCGACCGGGCCATAGGCTGCTGTTGAATTTTATTCCCACTGATCACAGCAAATATAGCTGCAAGGCAGAGAAAGGATAGAGTAGATCCGCCCAACGCGCGCCAGACATACTTTTGCACCGCGCAGTCAGAGCAGCAAAGCTGCTTCAGTCGCGCATCACAACTAAACTGGTACAAGCAGCAAAAAGGAAGCAGCAGATGCGTTTTTGCTGCTCCTGCTGCGTCCGGTGTGAACGTAGCATCACGCTCCACCACCAGGTTTAAGCCTTAAAACAAGCTGCAACTGGAATCTAGGAAAGGGGCTAAAATTGAGGATTAGGTGCAAAATAAAGCACAAGCTTTTTGTAAATGTAATAAAACAAAATAAAAAAAGCAGCAGAGATAAAAAATAAAAAGGCTATCAAATTCTGATTGCCGCATTTATAATTTTATATTATGTCCTCACAATAAGAGAAACCTGCTGGATCTTCTGGGACACTTTCATTTGGCTAAATCAGAGTCCAACTGGACTCACCAGCTCAAAGCACCAGGAAACGTTAAATGAATGGAGATCAGCCCAGATGGACCATATGGTCCCACTCTAGTGAAAATACAGTCCAAATGTGCAGCATGAAAACAAACACGTGTTGTGTCCCCCTAACTAAGGATAAAAACAATACCATTCTTTAAGTACATCTCAATCAACTGATTTAAAAAATGTACTTTCTACTTGTTTGTACAGTGATGCTGTTATTTATAGATTCATAAAGCAGCTGAAAACAGAAATCTAGTTGTCCATATTTTCATTCTTCCATGCTCACTTTTCAGTGCAACACATTTCTTAGCACCTCCCAGCGTGTCTTGCTCCCACGCAACACACCGCTATCTATACCACAGCCTATTATTTCCAGCTCATGCCTTTTTAATCCCAGAGTAGCACCCTACATTTCTGAACAGGTGTTTTATCAACGCTTCCTCCCCGTTAAAAAGTGCACTCAGCCATGCAGTCATATTTTCATTAGTGCTGCAACCCACACCACAAGGAACCAGCCTGCTTCTTCGTCCATCTACGTCTTCCTGAAAGAGGGATTAAACAGCAAAGTGAGAGAAAGTGCGGGGGTGGTGGACAGAGCGGTGCGACAGATAAAGGAGCATTACATATCCTCCTGTCATGTGACCCTGTGGAAAAACCCATACTCTTGAATTTCCAGAAATTAAACTGGAAACGCACACGAGAGGCCAAAGCGATGAATGTGTTTAAATAAACCAGAGCGGTCACACAGGAATGTGACCAACCACTCAATGGTTCTCTGATTATCCAAACCCGAGTAGGAGGAGAGGAGACACTTGTTTTTGACATGTTTTTGATATTGCACAAATGATGACATTTTACTTTGCATTCCTGGGTAAATATCACAGAGAGGGAGAAAACATGGAGTGGTGGTTAACTTAGCAGAAGGAAACTGTGATTAAGTAAAGGGAAACTCTAAAGGAACGTTTAAAGGGCAGAGCTACAACTGGAGGAAAACAGTTATTCAAAAATAATACATTAAGATTTAAGCAGTGAAGAATAAAAGTATGAATTTTAATGAAAAAAAGTATATATATACAAAATTGTTTTATATATTCTGACACATTTCCTTCTCGTTCTGCTGATGCTGAAGGACTCTGCACTAACAGTAGGTTGAAGTCACATGAGATTCCAGATCCTAGTAGAGCCATGATGGAGCTGAGAAATGGCTTCTTCCCACCTCACTTTTTTTAGCTTTAAGGTAACAAAAATGAATCAAAATGAGGATGAACATCGGTCAAGATTTTGACCATTGATGAGGCCACGTGGAGGCTGTCACTACTCCAAGTTAAATGTTGGCTAAAGCTAACCAAAGGGCCCATTTTAAGGACAATGCATTGAAACAGTTCATATGCATTTATAGAGATACTGAGCTATCTCTACAGTTCTGCTGCTATAGGCTTAGTCTGCTGGAGGACATAGGGACCCCTGTTTCATCATTTTGCTTCATCCTATCTCTATTCTCCCACTCTGCAGAATCTGTTAGTTCAATCTCTAACGTTCTGCTCTCTCTGCTTTTCATCATAGTAGCTTCATCTGGTCTGTTCCTGTTTGGCTGTGACTCCATCCTGGAGAGAAATATCAGCTGTGCTGCTGCCATTGGAGATCGGACTATTTTTCCAGTGTAGTCCTGTTTCTCTGACTGTGACTAACTGGATGTGCTCTCTTCATCCTCTGACATGGGAGTTGGCCTGGAGCTCGTCCCCCTGGCTGTGTGTTTCCTGGACGCGGGCTGCCTTTAATAGCTGCTTCTGTCTCCTTGAACCCCAGTCGGCCTCAGCAGGTGGCCGCTCACACTGAGCCTGGTTCTGCTGGAGGTTTCTTCCTGTTCAAAGGGAGTTTTTCCTCTCCACTGTCGCTACAAGCATGCTTAGTGTGAGGGATTGCTGAAGAGTCAATGAGTCGATGCAATCAACTGGTTTTCCTTAGATAGAAAACTTTGAATCAATCTGACTGTATGATCTGGTTGAACTGTAAAGTGCCTTGAGATGACATGTGTTGTGAATTGGTGCTATAGAAATAAACTGAATTGAATTGATTTCTAATGCAGTAGTTTTTCTTGTGGTTGCATAGGAAGGCTTATTTTTATCAGAGGAGTGTAGTAACAAACTACAAATACTTCACTACTTAAGTAGAAAATTTGGTTATCTATACTTCACTAGAGTAATTATTTTTAGACACCTTTTTACTTCTACCCGTTACAGTGTTTTAGATATTATCTCTACTTTCTCCTCCTTACATTTTAAAACTAGACTCATTATTTTTATTGGATTTGAGCTTGTTTTTCTTAGGGCCTGTTGGTATCCAAAAAATAAAATACAATAAAACATCAAAATAATTAAGTTTGTTCCACACAATTTCTTTGTGGCTGGACTCAGTGCTGCCCCAACTTGTTTTTCAATGCTTAAGTTGATCCTCTAACTTCTACAAAAGAGTTTTCAAACAGTAGGATTTATACTTCTACTTGAGTGATAAACATTGATTGTGTTGATTGTGTTTTATATTTCTAGAGAGTAAACATAATTTCATTTCCCTTGTATGTCTTGTACATATGAAGAAAGTGACAATAAAAGCTGACTTGACTTGACTTAATTGCCCAGAGGTACTGTATATTGCAGATATGTAAAATGAGTAAACTTAAGTCATTTCACCAGAGGACGTGTGAAAGGAAAGTGGATAACTAAGAATGAGTGTGGAAAAAGGGCAAAAACACTGAATGCTAAGAGGGATAAGAAGCGAGCAGCGATGGAAATATAATATGAAAGTTTGTGTTTCCTGAAGCAAAAGCTAAAAGCTGCTGAAGAAGCTCAGGTAAAGGTTTGGAGGACAATATTTTATTTCCGGGTGGATTATCTAAATAAGTGGTCCTCCTAATTGTCAATCATCCTGGTGATATGTTTACGTAAGGCCGTCCTATTTGCTCGTCCAGTTAGCTATCTTTTTCCGTGCATGCACACTTTCAGGAGTGTATTTGTGGTGAGCTACGGTTTCAGACAGTCATTGAAAATCACCTTTCTCACTGTGGTTCTTTGAAAATGGCCAAAAGTCGTAACAAAAAAAGCGTCTCCAAAGTGTATGAGAAGAAAAGACAGGCCTTAGAAGAGGCAGATATATCCCAGAATGCTTTGCACGGAGAGCTCTCTCTATATAGTGATAGTGATTGAGGGAATTAAGGGTTAGAGCGGACGTTCGGACACAGTAAGCTTATATGATCTATGAGAACAGCAACTTTTAAACAGAGCGTGCACGAGGAGAAATGGGCTCCAGCATGCGTTTAATTAATTAGACGTTTCCACTTTGGAGCAGGTACAGGGTTGTGCATGTGCATTTTTTTTTTTTTTTTTAAGTGGAGAGAGTAATTGAAAAAAATGTAGCGAAAATCCTCCACAATACCTTTGATGGATGCCTGAGTAAAATCTGCCAGCAGATGGCGAGAGCGTACAATAACGTTCATGTTTACTGATCGCCCGACGCTAAAAAAAAAAGGACCAAGTAAACACTACTGGAACCACGTCTGTCGTATATGGCTTTATTTTACCATAAACGCATGGGTTTTGGTGTTTTTTAATTGCATAGTATTTCATCTAGATCTATCAGTGTTGTTTTCTGATAAGAATAGTTTAGCAGCCGTTCCCTGGTTGGATGAAAACAAAGGGCTGTTGAACCAGGAGGGTTTCAGATCAGCAGGAAAATTATTTTTAGTTCAAATTAAACACCTTCCAAAAAATATTTCTATTTTAGGAAGATGATAGGATCACATAGAGCAATGCAGTGAAAGGATAAAAGCCTCAAAAATGATTAACGGTTAATCATTATTGGATAAAACTTTTGGGCTTTAGTTTATATGAAAAACAGTGAAAAATGCCCAACCCTGTTATTCCCACACTCCCTCTCATTCATCCTATCCTCACTATGATTTACACAAACATCGCTTGCTCTCCCGTCCTGTTGATGCTGCCTTGTGAATCAGCAGATGACCTCAGCAATAGATCCACTGTCTGCCCGTCAGTTAGCCGACGCTAAAAATGGAGCTGAGAGGGGAAGCAGAAGAAGGTGGGAGGCTGATGTGAGTGGGAGAGGAGTAGAAGAGAGCATGAAGGAAAAACGGACAGCTCATTAAAACAAAGCCCCCCCCCCACCAATAAAATTAGAAATACCTCTGACTCAAAGCTAAAAAATGCCTCTGTGTGTGTGAGGCGCTCAAACACAGGCAGCATTTCTGAGGAACGACGTCAACAAGTTCAGGATTTCAGAATGATCTCACATGAGCCCTACAAAGGACCCGGTTCAACGGTGCAGGAGGGAGAAACCAACAACGTCTCAGCATCTAACGGCCTCCCCATTATGCGTACGCAGCTTAGCTAAACACAGTAAACCTTTAAATGATAGAGTGATGGAGATTCATACCTTCTCTGCAGGTCCATCTCTTCCTGTGAGGGGCCATTCTGAACCGGGGGACCCTGTCTGGGCAGCGTGGGGCCTGCGACACACAGAGCATAAAGTTCTTAGTTTCTGTTTGACGATTATAAATAGACACGCTATCAATATGTCATTTTGTTTAAACTTTATTTTGAAAGGAGACACCTTCTGTAGCGTTAGCTAAAGCGGGGGAAAAAACAAAAACAAAAAACTTCCTGGAACAATTTAATGTCCTATGTTCTGAATGTCAGCGGTTAAAGGCAGGGAAGGAACTCATTCATGGTTTAAACATCGACTGCGTGTGCGTGACTGTGGGCCCATAATCTGATTCCTTCTGCTCCACATACATGTCAGCCTACCATGCTGCAGCCTTTACCTCCTCCGTAATAACATTTATCACTGCATGAAAAGTGGGATTTTCGTCAATATACGGCACTGTAGATTGTCGTGGAACTTCAGGTTAGCGGCAGTTTACGGCAATTTGCAGGCTTCGTCGAAAACTCCCGTAAATTGTCAGAAATTGACGTGGAATTTCTTAGGCAGTGTTCCCCCCATGCCTCCCCCCCATGGAATTCTAGGGGAGGCTTTAACATGTAAATGAACATGCTGTGAGCTATACAAATGCAAACCAGGGTTGCAGGGGGGGTTTTACCCCAAGTGACATCTTTCTGAGGAAGAAAATCTCTGATACAAAGAGATCAGGCTTAGTATAGCCTCTTACATTTTAGCTTGAATTGATTTATTTAATTAAAGTATAGAGACCAAAACAGATCTTTAGCTGACAGAGCAATACATTTAGAGCAGTAATTATTTTTAAAAAAATTTGCATTTAAGATAAAAAATAAAATATTGTCTGTCAATATGCTCAATTCACAATTACTTAAGTGGAAAAGTTTCAAGAAATGAGTCTGAGATGATTTACTTTATAACATGGCGCGTTATCCTGCTGGAAGTAGCCATCAGAAGATTGGTACACTGTGGTCATAAGGTCCGGCCAGGTCAAGATCCACAATTGCAATCGCACCAAACAGGAAAAAGAACATCGACAAATTCCGGTTCGTCAAATTAAAATATAGCAGCAACAGATCGGTGACTAGAAATTATAGCACAATTCTTATAAATATCTAAAAAAATAAATAAAAAAAACTAACACCGTTTATTTAAATGATTGGATCCAAACTATTGGTTATTCACCAACGAGGAAGCACATTTCTCATCTCCATTAAAATATTTATTTTATACCGAGGGACTTAAAGTTTAATCAAATCCAGTTAAAAGAAACTTCTTATTACAGGAATGAAAAGAGATGCTGAGTTGTATAGAGTTCATAAAAAAAAAAAAAAAGCAGTCTTGAATTATCCTTATCTCTGTTACAAAAATCTACAAATATATATATATACATTTGGGCAGAAACTGAACATATGCTGGATGATGGTGGGATTTTTTTAATATGTCATATTAAATTAAGTGCTCACAGGGTTCATACAGGAATGAGTGACTCTAATTTAATGCTATTTTAATGCTATTAGAAATGATTTTAATGCCATCAACAAGAACCATGTACACAAGTTATTAGTGTACATGAAATATGAAGGAGCTGTAAGCAGAGTTCCATGACTCCTGTATGTATGTAAACACACACACACACACACACACACACACATATATATACGTATATATATTCTCTAGCTTTTTCTCCGCCTCGAGCTTCCTTTCCGAACATACGGCTTTATAAACAGTTCCACGCAAATTAATAGCGATATAATATCTGACGAAATTGTTTTTAGAAGCATTTTATTAAAGAATCATAAATGCAACGATAAACATATTTAATTAATTTTAGTGCCAATTAAGGCCTTGATTAAAAAAAGAATTATGAATTGTAATTATTTTTAATGATCCGCTGAAACCCTGGTTCATCTGGCGCATGCCCTCTACGATCTCCAAGGAACTCAGAGAGGAGGGGACGGAGCCACAGCGGCGGCTGTAGGCTTTGCTTTGTGCAGGCGGTCTGGAGCGCAGCGGGGCGGAGCAGAGCGGAGCGCAGACGGAGTATGTGGGATTTCGGGGTAAAACTCTTCTTGGACGCGATGGCGACTCTGCATCGAACAAGACGAACTCAAAGAAGAGATGCTAGCGGTAAATATATGTTCGATTACTGCCTGCTAAGCTAAAAGCGGCCTAGCCTGAGCTATGGCTAATAGCAGCCTAGCTATTAGCCTATCTAGCCTAGCCTTGCAAGAACAAGCTTTATTAAAGTGCTTTTTTGTGATTTACAGGAAGCAGTACGCCGTCTTAACAACTCGGAGACTAATTGCAGGCGCTATGAACCGGAGCAAGGGTAAGATTTAAAGAATATGCTTTCATTCTGCGGTAAAAGGTAATGGATACCGATCATAGCTTTACATTTTGTTTTCACAGACCTCCTTTTTGCTCGGAGCCATAATCAGCAAGTCCAGATTTGCACGATGATGATAAAGACGACATTGTGTGTAAGTGACTTGTTTTAATGTTTTCTCCTTCCTTGTTACTGTGACTTGCGTTTGATTTTTTATTTATACCGCTCTCATTTAATTGTTTTCCAGCTGCCTGTAAGACGTATTTTCAGACGGTACGCAGGAGCTTCAGATATACACTGCCAGCCAACACGCTGCGTGCGGAGGCTATCTGCTCGGAGTCGGGCCAGAAGAAAGAGGGTAAGACTTTATTTGGTGACTATTTTTCAGGTGCATTAATAGATGTGTTGTGTCCATACGCAGTGCGCTGATTCATTGTTTTTTTTTTTCAGCTGCTGAAAGCGAGGCAGAGTGTGCTAGCAGATGAGGAAGTGGAACTCTGGAAGTCCGCCGTCGTCAGCGGTGTCTCTGGATGGATTGTACGGTCGCCACCATTTCGTAGGCCGGATCCCTCTGAACTCTGTGTTAAGCTGCAGTCCCGGTTAGAAGCGATGCCGAAGTACAGGGCAACGCACAGTAGGCGTCTGCACATCGGACCTGCCTCGGAGGGAATGCTGCCAGTTACCTCCAACCCCGAGGAAGCAAACGGACCGTTCACGGACTTTTAATTTTTAGAAACGCATGTGTTTGGATACGCGTTGTATATAGTTGTGTGTGTTTTAATAAAGCTCTTTCTTTGCATAAACAGCTTCCTGGCAAATGTTCATTTCCTGTATAAATTCATTCATGTCCTTGATGGTAGCATAATAATTGTGTAGTAGTGTAGGATAACATAAATACACACCATATGAATGAATAAATATATGAATGAATAAATAAATATATATATATATGAATAAATATATATATGTAAATATATATATATGCCAACCAATCACGAGCGACTTTACTTGTTTAAAAAGAAGCGGTTCCGTCCAATACTCAGTAAGAAAATTAAAGCCTGGCGTGGCCACGTGTGGTTTTGCTGCCAATCACGAGCGATTTCATTTGTTTGAGAATAGTGGTTTCAGCCAATACTGAGAAGGTTATTCAAGCCAGACCTGGCCAGCCGCGCGGGTTTGCTGCATTCATATGCTAATTAGGGCCATTAGTACAGCTGATCGCTCTCCACATACGTCAGAGTCCGTTTCCGACAATTTGTGGCACGAAAAAACGCGGACAAGCACGGGTTGCAAATTGTCGGAAACTGACGAAAATCAGGCAGATCTGCGGGAGTTTACGGGGGTTTACGGGGACGAAAATCTCACTTTTCATGCAGTGTATAGAGATGAAAGCATCCTTCTCTTTTCTGTAAAGGTCCATTTACATGCTCACCGTTCCTTTTTGCTTCCTTAACACTTTTCCCCCAGGGGGCAAGGGTAGATAAAAAAGAAGCATGATCCATACACTATAAACTTCTTTCCATTTTATCTGGTTTTCTATAATGAATTAATGACATTTGTTGAGACATTCTGCCCAGGATGCACATATAGAGAAAACAGATGACACTATTAATGATGCGAGCATCGCCGAGGCTCCAGCATACTGGTGTGGACTTATTGTTTTAGTCTTCATAGTTGAGTATAATCATTCCTCCTTAGTTCTCCATGGCCACGGTGTCATCTGACAGGTTGGCCTTCCATTTTCACAAAAAAACTAAAGAAACAAAGATGGTAAACACGGCTATTAACTAGACTAGAGATAAATAAGAGGAATACAGCGTGCAGAAGAAGCTAAAAAAAAAACAGTTTCGTTATTTAATGCAGGGGTAACCAATTAAAAATCAGCAGAGTCCGAATAAAGAAAATCACCAACCAGTAAAGGTCTGGAGACATTTTTAATTATAATATGTTACTTTAAACAGAATTTAAGACTGAAATAAAATGACGTGCTTATGGATCCATGGTATAAATTGAAACATTAAATAAAAACATTTTTCAATTTTAAAATCTAATGTGTTTTGTTGGAGTAGAGAACAACAATCATTCAGTTTGGTATATAGACCATTTCCTGATTCACATATTTTATAAAACACCTGAACTGACCATTTCCCGTCTTAATGTTGGCAGTGGGCTTCATGCTGCCCTGCAAGGCTTTAAACCTGGGTTTGAATGGAGACTAAGCCATTCTAGAGCACATATCAAGGTGCTCATTCTGATCCTGGATCCATATTTATTTTTGATTCTGTTCATGGTGGAGAATCCTGCTTCACAGCAGCAGGTTGAGCCAAACATCCTCTAAATGTTCAGGGTCATCTTTGAGCACCATTTCACTTTTCTTTCACCAGTTCACCACAGTTCTTCCAGCAGTCCACACTTTCCCTGCTCTCTTTTTCTCATCATCTTCTCCTTCTTTCCCATCGCCCGGCTCGCCACAGGTTTGCCTGCTGTGTCCAAAAGTGGCAGCAGCAGCAACTCAGACTGACAGCAGCTCATTGGATCATTTTTGTCATGTGCAGCCTGGGGCCGATGCTATGAAAGGGCTTTACCGTATTGATAGGAGAAGTAGCGCAAGTGAAATTAGACACTGTTGTCGGACAACATGCAGTAATTAATAAATGTTTTAAATCATCTTGGGTCCAGATTAGCCAACAAGTGCGTCTGGATCCGGACCACGGCCCGTTAAT